GATCTAAAAATATATATATATAGTCAAACCCCGTTAAGACACCCCCGATAAAGCGCCACCCTTGGCAACCGCCAAAATTTTGGATGAAACAAATTTCCTCTATGTTAAAGTCTATAGAAAACCTTGATAAGACGTCAACCGCCATCCCCCAGAATTATTGATGAAACAAAAGTGCTGTTTCCAAATAGTTTTGTCGTTGTAGAATTATAATTTCTGCCAAGGATCTCGTATTTGTAAGAAAATAATAATAATGTTGAAAATTTTGAAAAATATATTGACCTAATCTTAAAATTTGAATAAATTGATGCAGAAAAAATTTATCTTCTGAAAGAGTATTCCATTGATCACAGCAATACTCTTCAGAAAATTACTGAAATTTCTATACAAAACCTGTATCTCTATGACTTTTGGAGGAAAATCCAGTATTTTTGATCAAGTAATTAAAATTAAATATTTGGTGAACCACCAACCTCTTTAAAACGCCAAAATTGCTCTGGACAAATGGTGGCGTCTTATTGGGGGTTGACTGTACAGTATATATATATATATATATATGTGTGTGTGTGTGTGTGTATGTGTGTGTGTGTGTGCGTACACAAAATACAGTTCAACTGAGCTCTCTGAGTAAAATATAAAGGGACTCTGAAAAAAAATTGACTCACAAGCTCTTAAAGCAGAACTTTTGAGTCAAGGAATTTGGCCAATAATTTACATGGGTTCATCAAGCAAAAGTTATCTCTGGTCAAATTAATACAGTTGAACCTTGAAAACTCAAACCTCCTCAAGTTAAATGCCTTTCTTTGACAAATTTTTTTTTCAAAAGTCCCTGTTCAAAATTCCCTTATGGAACCAATGCATTAAAAACCTCTCTAATTAAATGAAAAGCTTTTCCACTCTAGCCTCGGTCACTAGAACTTTTTGAGGTCGTTTGGCTATTATTTTCTTGACACAAAGAAGAGAAAAGCAATAAAAGGAAGCAGTACATTTTGAAAGGAAGTGGAGGTCTAAATTGGAAAAGTGAACCCCTGCATCCAATTTCAGCATCCTGTCAACTCATTCATGAAGGAATTTGAGGTCAAGAATATCACCATTTACAATTTCCAGCAATTCTCCTGCGTTTCCCGAGACAAAAATATTCGTTCTTAACTCAACTTCGTATAAATCGAAACTTTGCTAAGTCGGTTATTTTATTTTATTTTTGCTGGTCTCTATTTAAATTTGCCTCACAGTGGTTCAACAGTAAAAGTTTTCTTCATTCTTAAATTCCCTACCTCCAAGAAGTTTTGTATTCCCTCGCGGAATGCAATGAAGCTAATACATTTGCCTTTTTCTTGGCGTTCTGGAGCAGGTGTTCTAAGATTTAGCTCAAGTTTCATCAAAAAATAAAAAATAAAAACTATTACGGGAGGTTAGAGCCAAAAAATTTAATTTAGGGAAATTTAAAAAGCACTGGCCAGATCGGGGATTTTCGGTAAATTTAATTACGGAAGGATCTTTTTTTTTTTTTTACTTATTTTTCCTTTAATAGGTTCCATTTGAAAAGTTTTAAGTGCACTATTTAAGCCTTGAATAAGAAAAAAGGCAGGAACCATGGTCAACGTAATTGGCGGCAAGTGATTAAGCAACGCATGCATTTCAATCAATCATTCTACCTGATTCTGAATTTTCAAAATCATGAAAATATTTCAGAAAAAATATGAAGCAAAAGAAGAGATGCTCGCGTGTAAGATTTCAAGCGTGAGAAACAACAACATCTCATCGGAGAATGATCCACGAATTTTCCTCTCAGATCTCAAGCATTGGAAAAGTACTCTTCAAAAAAAATTGCTTTAAAAAAAAAGTAATGACCAGAGAATACACAATAATGACCGACTGGATTCGGGGTTACGGAAAGGTGAACACCGTATTTCCGCGAAAGTACCGTATAGGTCGACAGGTTGCCAACAGCAGGGCTTCTCCACATTTTTGTGGACTATACACTGTAACTCTTTTAATGCATACACATTCACTACCTCTTTGTTATTGTACCTCTTGATCCCAGTATCACTCGTGTCGGCATTCCCGGCTTCAATAATATCTTGACATTGCTATATACATTGCCCTCAACTGCATTTAAGAGGCTACAATATCGTTAGTGCGCCATTACTTCACTACCTATTCAGCATTTAATTTCAACTACATATTTCTTAATTCAGGCCATTCGTCGACTGAAATCGATCTAAAGCAGTAAAGCTATCCATAAATTATTCCACATGAGGCTGTACAATAACCCTACTTGATTTCATACACAATATACTGTATATTCATATACAGTATTATACAGTACTTTATTTCATTCCATGAAACAAACGGCAAGTGTCCTTTATATTTATACGAACAGATATACGTACAGCAACTGGTGCTAAAACAGTAGATGAAATAAATCATAGCCGTCAAATCATCAATTTCAGGTACAGTAAATATAAACAAAATAAATCTGAAAATTTCAGAGAGAAAATCGCTTGAAAAGAAACGAGAAGAAATTATAAAAACTTCTGTGAGTGAAACTTTGATTGATTCATTAACTGAACAAGAAACATTACCTCGAAGAAAACGTTACCCATTAACATTTCAACACTACGCGGCAAAAAAATCCTCTAAATTCTATTGAACTGAGAATAGAATTGTGGGGCATTACTTTTGGCCAGTTTATTTGCCATGAAATGTACTATTTTAAACCCCCAAGTAATTTTTACATCATTCAAAATAAAGTCAGCCCAATCCGTGATAAGCAGCATATTTGGATGGCATTTTTGCGTCAGAACCGCTTTTACACAAATCAATCGAGCATTAGTCGCATTAGCATATTTGAGCATCATTTTTCTCTAACGAAAAGTGTTGCCTGCAGTTGATGAAACTTTTGATAATCAATTACAGTACTAAAAATATCTGGTTGCATGACCCCAATAATAGCGAACACGAATTTATCAAAAGTCTCAGACATCCCTCCAGCATTTGTGACAGCGACGCGAAAATATTTTTTAAAGTAAGTTTATTCCAGTTCCACTATAAAAAGAAGAAATTGTAAATCAGCAGGCAAGGAAGTGCCGAGTCACTTTCTTGATTGCACCTTATTCGAAAAATAAAATAAAATAAATACGCAATGCTGCACCTCTTCCAAGCAGACAAGAATAATGTAAAATGTCTGGTAATTTTCCGCTGAAAGGCACACGAATTCCTCCGAAATTCGTCACGACTCATCAACAGCTCATCCATCATTAACGAGGTACAGTAACATCACATCACGTGATACAATGTTAACGATCACGATTTTTGGAAGCCACTGGCGAGAAATGCTCTGGAAGCCAACGGCACTCACCGGAAAACAGTTTAATGAACTCGACTCCCAGAATATGTCACAAACAACCCAGACGGAAAAAAGGGGCGATCGAGAATTCCTCTGCGAATGGTACAACAAACTTTCTCTAATCAGGAAAAAAAAAGCACTGTGTTCAACGAAAAAAAAAGAAAAGCCTGGATTACATAAGCCCCGAACACAACCACATATTTTTTGGCAACTGATCGCCAAAAATTTATAAACTGTAGGCCGCACTTTTCGTCGGAGAAAACGATTCTTGGAATGCTAATGTGACCAATACTCGATTTATTTGCGCATAAGCCATTCTGACGCAAGAATGCGACTCACGTGCTACTTATCATGGCTTTTGCTGACTTAGTTTTGAATGATGCAAGAATTACTCAGGGGATCAAAATACTGTATCAAACTTGGTGACAAATCACCCGTGATGGTAATGAGTTTCGTAATTCATACTCGCTGAAAATCAAGCCCACTCATTGAACTTCAAGAAGATCCACAGTAAAATTTTGAATTTTAATTCATCAACCGATAGCTTAGATATTTCAAATCTACCGAACTCAGATTCTGAAGCTGCACGAAAATTATTCTGGAAGAAGATGAATTATTTCAAGAATCCCGATTAGACAATCTTGAAAGTAGCAAAATCCTTTTTTTTTTTAATCTCGAGAATAAAGTCATGTTTTCCACAAGAGACACACTAAAAAAATTAATCATATTCAAAGAGAATCAATGGAAATTGCAAGCAGGTAAACTGAAAACTTTTTAATTTAGCAACTGTCACTTATGAGACAAGAATTCTTCATCCATACCGGACATCTAGGAGCATCTTGAAAATATTTTAGAAGATGCAGGGAATAATTTAAAAGAATACGAAAAAATTTGTACGAGTATGAAATAAACCTTTGACGAATTTCAACAGTACGTCTATTGGGCACAAATGGGCCACAATATAATTTGATGTCAAGTGTTTGGAACGAACGGAAATAAAACAAATAAATCAGTCCGGGACTGGACCGGGATTCCTTATTGGAATTCCTACTTTAACGGGAATTGTATTTCGGATAAATGGATAAGTCAACGACTTCACGAGCTCGGGCTTGTAACAAGGAATAACTTGAATAACGCACATACTTCCTTCAATGATGGCAGGAAAAGTTATCGTCGAAGATGCTACAGTGCTTGGCGCATCCGGTACCAGGATGTGCCTGGCACTGCGATTTTGAGGAGGGGGGAATACTATTTTAATTCCTAGAATTCAATTATTATATTGTACCCGGCGTACATGCCCAACATAAATCCCCCCTGTTTCATCAATGAGCGTGACAAGCTCTTTGATGGAACATAAGTGCTCTTAAATGCCATGACAGTACGCCGAACGAAAATGGAATCTATCAGTGAAAAGAGTGAAGAAGTGAATCAGTTTTAAGGGATGCCTTACAAATCCGAGCTCGCAAAGAAGGTCCCAAGAATTGTGTTCTAAAGAAACAAAGGAGTGATCAAGTCCTCAATTTCTCCAAACACTAACACAAATTTGGAAACTTTCACAGAAAAACATTGCGCGTGCGCAAAGAATACGAGAAAACATCAGTGAGAACAAAAGACCAAAAAAGAACTCGCAAAAACAACACTCGGGAGTAAAGTGATGGCTAATCCAGACGACAACATGGATGTGGTGAACGTATTCGCCGCCGCTGCAATGGTAGAAGCCGAAAACGAGGAACCAGGCAATCCAAATGGTAAGACCAGTGTTGACCACCTCCGTGAATTGCTAAACTTTCAAAAAGAAATCGCCAGAAGCGCGGGCCCAACCATCGTAATTGGTGGCTTACAGAGCCATTGCCACCGTGAGGGCGCTAAAAGTAGTCTTTGAATAACAAACTACTGTAACATGGTGCCCGAAAAACCATAAAAAAGACTGAAACAATTGCATACTTTATAATTTTACAGGGAATGTGCCAAACAAACATGAAGAACGAACAGTGAGGTTCCCAACGATTGCAACCAATTTCATGAATGAGCTAGAGAAGCTGAGCTTGGACTCTTGGAAACGTCTGGTGGAATGCTTGGCAGTGATAAAAAACGAATTCCTATGCGATAGAATGATAGAAGGATCACAAGCTTCGTTGAACCGAAAGAAGGCAAAGCTAATGTCAGTGGAAGAAGAACACGTGAAACTGGCACAGTCGGAAACGACAATGGTAACAACGCTAAACGCCCGTCGTCGCCTAATTGAAGACTCAAACAAGGCCGAAACTGCAGCAATGACGAGATTACGAAAGGCCTTTACGGCAATAACGAAAGTGGATCAAGATCACCTACTGCAAGGTTTTACGGAACCAACAGAACTGTTCCTAAGTTTGAACAACAATGACAAATTAAAGAACATGGGTATGTAGAAAAATATTGAGAACTAAGAATATTTTTAGAAAGAAAGTCTCATTTTGCAGGCGATACAATTGAAATAAAGTTGGGAAACCTAACGCTACACGTGGGAAAGGAAAGAGCACTAGAAAAAATTTGGCGTGAATCCTTAAAGCTACACGTAGAACCCGACTTGGAAAGAACAGGTATATAAGAAAGCAAAAAGACAAAGGAAGAGCAATAACAACGCGAATTATCTTACAGATATGTCACAAATGGAAGTAATTGAGGGCGGAACAATTAACCTGGGAACAATCAAAGCCTCCGCCGTGTTCATTCTGGACAAGGAGGATCCCAAAGAAAAGGAAAACAAAGTGGAGGTGATAATGAACCCGAGCGCAATTGCACTGGGGCCAAGAACAAGGGACGGATACGGGTTCGGTAAATAGAAAACTTAAAAGTGTAAAAGGGAGAATGAAGTTAATAATTTGTTTTTTTTTTTTTTATGTAGTGCACTTGTCAATGATCTTCAGGATCTCGAAATTCTTTCCAATTTCACCACCAAATTATTTTGCCAACGTTGCGGCAGAAATGGGATTGACGCATGAAATCTACGGAGAGTTGAAAGGGAAGAGCATTGACCTGCCTATCCCAGGCACAATCGTCGACAACTATAAATTTAGCACAGAACAAACCCCGATTGAAGGAGAACCACGACGAAATAGCTCGAAAAAAGCCATCATACTGATTAGTACCTCAATGTGCAGTACCTTTCATTTTGGGGGAAAAAAGGACAGTTATCGAACTAGAGTAGACTGCAAGGAATGGGTACATTACCCGGTGATGGATGTGGGATATATGGTGGACGATCTAGACGTCGAGATTCTACAAGTAAGAACGTTTAAAAGGAAACCTGAATAAATATACAGTAAATTTTATTACAATTACAGTGGACTATGAGTGGGTGGTCATTAGTCATCGGGAACGGAGTGATGTCTGCAGAATGTCTGAGAATGCTAATTGAACATGACTTGAACCTGGCGCCAGACTTTAAATTCGCACAAGCATACATCAGAGGAGGTACAAATGACATTAAACAGCTAATAAAGGGCACGGAAGGAGGGGAGATAAAATCATTTAATGATTTCATGGAAAAATACTCGAAGTACTTGAAGGAAATATCAAAGTACTTTAAGTGCCCAGCCATTGCATTAGGCGCTTCCCCACCATGTTTGAGACCAGAAGTGAACAGGACAGTCGAATTGGTACGAGTGTAAGGGATAGTCGTCCCGTAATACCCGTTATATAAATTAATAACATAACGCTGCCGCTGCGCAAAAAATTCCTCAACGGGAAATCCTGTTCAGATTTCCCGATTGCGCAATGAAAATCCACCCGTCCATTTTCTAAACTATTTTCTTTACAGTCTGCTCGTTCGTCTCGAAGTGTGCACTTCTGTTGTGTTCTGTTGCAAAATTTCTGATTGCGATTATTTTCGAATTCTGAAAGTCTCTTCTCTTGAAATATATTATTCTGTTTCTCTTTTGGGATTCTGCCGAGAATCCCCTGCCCTGTTCCCGGGCGGATTGAGTCTTGTATTCATTTTTTATTCTTTTCATCTTTGTGATTTACTTTCCATCACAACGAGACAAAAAAGGGATTCCACTAATTCCACTAAGGTCGGTAAACAAGGAGCACATTAATGCGACGATAAAAATGGAGGCAGCGCGAGTGTATCAAGAAGCATTATACGCGGAATTGGAGTGCCGAATTGGCATTTTGCAAGAAGCGGACAAAAATCACAAAGGCTGGTGGGCGATTCCCCCACCAATTGACTATTTACGTCATTACAGCAAGACCCATGGGAATTTGATACAATTTGGACACTTAACACCAAATGGGATTCTCGGATTTGCACGAGACCACAACGTGGCGTTTTGTGCAGGCCTGAGTTTATTAAAAACTCCCAATGACTATCCAATTTACCCGTGTGTTGGACGCCCACCTTATTGGTCATGTAACGGTGGAATTGTAGAAGGGCAAAAAGTATCTGCTAAACATACCCACACCGGAACGGCAGGAAGAACGGGACAGTGTCTGGTGATGCCATATTACAAGAATCCTGATGCAACGGGAGCAGAAGGAAACATTTTCAAGTAAGAGACAAAAAAGGGAAAAATTGAAAGAATATAGACTAATGAAAAAATGTACGATTACAGAAAATTCATAACATCAGAATGGTTTCTACAAGAAGAACCATTTAATTTGGAAATAATCCTGCCCCGAGCCAAGAATGCAGATACAACAACACCATATCATCGTCTAGCAGTGGGAAGCTTGGTGGAACTGAAGACATCACCGATTTTAGGAATTGTGATGATCATGACTGAAGCGGGTGTGTGGGTTGTGGGAAAGGAGGGTCAACAATTCTATTTCTATGAAAACATCTTGCGTGTGTTAAGTCACGGGTATGTCTAATAAGGGACATGAGGAAAACAAAGGCATTAAGTTGAAAATTATTTTGGTCAGTGAATCTCAGTGAATACTGATCTCGAATGAATATGTCAAAGCTAAAGTGACATAAACAAAATTTTGAGTCAAGACAAAAAGATTGTAAATTTGAACGAAGTACAAGAGACGCTACCAATTGTGTTTTTTGCCAAATTGTGCTTTCGTGAAGAAATGAGTTGAATCCGCTACCAATTTTGTTACGACCGAAATAAAGTGATGTAAAGCTACTCAAAGCGCGTGCTAATTTGATTGACAGTACAATACTCAACAAGAGCAGATAAATGCTGGATACGACGGCCAAGAAGACCATCCTGTTGAGGAACATCCATTTCTAGGGGAATAAGATTCTTAATTGATTGATTTTTTAAAACAAGAGGTTCAGACGGCGCAGAATTGTTATGTGTAGGAGACGCTGTAACAATATCCACTGACCGAATTAAACCATCACAAGGACTGCGGTAAATATTTAAAATGCGACATAACTTCCACTTAAGACGTTTGAAAGGGGAATCCTTTTTAAAACTAGGGCGATTAAAGAGAGCAACTTGACCCTCTTTTGGT